AATTTTCGACAGCCATTTGCACATAGAAGATAAGATGTCGGGACAAATTTTTTTTTTTCATTTGATAGTATATAACATAACCTTTGATTTGATATATGTTTAAAGGACGCAGTATATCCGGAACATTTTCAAAAGTTCAGTTGAAAAAGATCTATGTTTTTTACAATATTTCAATTTTTAACGCCTCCCTATATAAGGGGAAATTGTCCAATTTTAATAAAAAGTATGTCAAATGAAAGATGTACTTATAATGTATTTAGAAAAAAAAAATTTGTGCTGATATATACATTTTTCAAAAAGTTATAGCATTTTTAAGTTGAAAATTTAAAATCGAAAATCGAAAATTTTAACACAAAAATAGTGTTTTTTTAACTACGGCAGCCGTTTAAATGTAGAAAAAAAAGTGTCGGGACAAATTTTTTTTTTTCATTTTGTAGTACATAAAATAAGCTTTAATTTGATATATGTTTAAAGGACGCAGTATTTCCGGAACATTTTCAAAAATTAAGTTGAAAAAATTAATTTTTGTAAAAAAGTTGCCATTTTAAATCCCCCCCAATGAGCAGGTTAAGTGATAGATTTTCAAAAAAATGATATCAAATGAAAGGTAAATATCTAAGGTTTTAGTATAAAAAAAAATTATGTTGATTTGTTGATTTTTCAAAAAGTTATGGAAGTTTTAAGAAAAAAAAGTGAAAAAATTTCGAAAATTAGCGATTTTTAAATTTGTAATTTTTTTGGATATTTCCCCCATTTGCGGGGAACGAGGGAATTTTTTTCAATTTTTAAGGGTAATGTCTTCAACTAGATACGATTTGTGATCTTTTGACGTATTTTTGAAAGAAATCGGTCCAGTGAGAGCTGAGAAAAAGTGGCAACAGACATAAAAAAAAAAAAAAACATCATAGTAAAACCAATACCTTCTCAGCTTCGCATCGAAGCTAAAAATTAATTATCAGCTGAAAAGACAAAAGGTAGAAATTTTGAATTTGTAAAAATAGAAATTTTATCTTTTTAATAAGGATGTATCTAAATATTCTAAGAAATATTTTTTAACAATTAATTGACATTAAAATACTGATCTCAATTTAAATTAAGTGATTTCAAACATATGTATAATAAGTTAGTATAACATAACCAGTGAAAGAACACTAACAGTGAACAAACATCATAGAGTTTATAACAAAATACATTTTTAATTTGATTGTAAAACAAGTAATTTTTTCAACAAAGAAAAAGTATCTAAATTAAGTCCTACTGCAGTAGAGCAAATTTTTGATACAATATCATTAACTGTTCATTTACTGAGGTATTTCAATTTTTAACATCAAGTTTTTAATTTTTTTATTAGTTAATTATAAATATTTTTATATTACTATTGAATAGAATTATTCAAAAAAACAAATATTTTACTAACACTATGAGCGTGATATCAAAATATAAATTAATAAAGAATTTTTAAAAACTCATTCACTAGTAAAGTAATTTTATGTACCATAAATATTGTTAATAGTTAATTGAAATATATATATATTTAACTGTGAAACTAGGAATTTTTGTTTCAATATTATTATATAAAGTATTAATTAAATGATTTTGTTATGGTTAATAGTTTTGTTAAGGTTAAATAATTAAGTTTATATTGCATACTATTAATTGTTACATTTAAATTTTATAGACACATCACCACCCCAAGCGTCTCATTAATGGACACAAACCTGAGGGTGGTATTGTTGGCATCAAGTGGCAGCTGCTGAACGACATAACTATCAGGGAGGGGAGTGCGTCTATGGAACGTTGTGCCAATTGGCTGTGGATGGTGCTTGGAACTGGTTTTTCTACACCTGTAAACAGCCGGCCGGATAATAAAAACCGATCGACTTCCAAAGCGTCCAAAACACACGCCTTACAAATAAATGGCTTTATATTACAATAAGTCTTACCTTGTACAGGAACACGCGAGTTTTTGTAATGGATCTGATAAATGCCATTGACCTAATGTTGGTGATTCAGGTCTGGACGGAGGATTTTGTTCTGTATGTAATGGTCCAAGCACACAATCCTGCCATGCTCTTTCTGGAATTGCTGATACTGTATTATCCAATGTATAAACAATAGTATCAGGATGATGATGATGTTTAGGAGGCAACACTTGAGTTTTAATTAATGCTAAAACATAAAATTACATTTTATAGTAGACATTTGTTATTTTTACTAAATTAAAAATAATATTACGACTAATTTGTTGAGTTGTTGGTTGTGTATTATGATTTTTATGTAACTCAGTAGTACTTTCATCTAAATCAGTTACTAAAACATAACAAGATGGATATCTCATTTTGACACCACCTAAAAATTTAATATTGAGTAATACAAATCTTATAACTTTAAAAAAAATTATAGCTAAATAATATATTTATTATATAAACAGCTAACCAACTAAGACTTCCACTACAGGAGGCAAATCATTAGGACCACTGCTATTTACAACAGGATAGAAATGGCTCCATTCATCCATCATACGACTAGTTTCAGCATCCATATTTTTAAATATATGACCAGTGAGAGTTCCCGCAAGACCAAATGGTGCAAGCATAACTATTTAAAAAATAAATTAAAATTTTTTTTCACAAATAAAAAATCTAGTGCTAATACCTGGAATATTTGTCACATTAGAAGACTGACTTGAAACTTGCATTAAATGTTCTTTAGATAATGTACGAACAACAGAATGTTGCCTTACATCTATACTAGCACAAACTGTGCTTTCTCCATGTACAAAAAATGCAAAAGAAAATGACAAATGACTGGAACTAAAAATTGCAAAAAAACATGAATTTGATTATAAAATAATATAAGTAACAACTTAATATTGACATTAATTTCAGAATGAACAGATAAGAGTTATAAATAATAATAGAAACTACAATCTTCTAGTATTTAACTTATCAATTATCTATTATTTTCCTCTGTTTACTACAATAGTAACTATTTGAAAGTACATTATCTGTTAATTCTTAAACTAAAGCCAACAATATTTACATATGAAGATTTATATTTACCAAGAGTCATCTAATTTTTCAGATGATGAATATGGTTGCACAAACCATTTCCCTAACCGTACAAAATCTCTAGATAGTAAACATCTAAAAAAAGTTATTTTAAAGATTATAAAAATTTATATCACCATTCATAACAATTTTTATACAAAATTATTATTCTTAGAAACTAAAATAAATAAAATTAACAAGAATAATTAATTATAATTTACATTACAAATTTAATAGATTTATGAAAATGAATAAAACAACAATTATTTCAATAAGTAAAAATGAAGTTTAAATAAACTATATATAATTTTCACTAAATTAATTAATGTTCTTAATATAATTTATTGGACAGTAAAAATAGTTTATAAGTCCATAGAAAAATTTACAATTATTTGATACGTATTTTTTTTATCCACTAATAGAAAAAATGATAATTGTGAAGTATTTTGTACTATAATATTACAATAAATTATGAATTTTAAAATTTTTTCTGTAAATCATATAATAATGATAAACTATTTAATTATTTATAAATATTTTGTAAACAATATTTACCTTTCAATTAAATTATGAAGAGCTTTGAATAACAGAGAGCGGCATTCATATGATAAACCACTTTCCCAAGAGCCATTATCTCCTTCTAAAAAAAAAATATATATTAGAATTTATATTCAATTAAGGATCACATTTAAATTATATATATATATGAATTACCATTAACTAAAAGTTGTTGAGAAACAAGTCCAGTCAGATCAGGCTCTTCACCATACCAAAATATCCACAATTCTTTTGAAGCTTTTAAAGAAAGTGCAGGTGGGAGAGCAGGCAATGGTGTTGGTGGGGCAGGAACCAAAGGATCAAGTGATGTCTGTTGAGAATTTCCTTGGGGAAGTGACACTCGTCGCCATACAGCTAACATATCGTGGGTTAAACATCGTGTATAACTAGATAATACTGGGTCTTCAAGCACTGAGCCGCAAGTGTTAGTTGTTCCCCCAGGACCACTTGCCCAATCTGGTGGCCCTTCAGGACCAGCAGAACAATGTACAAATTTACGCCATTTAATACCGCATAAATCAGTCTAAAAATAATAACAATAAAAAAAAAAACCATTAATAAAATTACAACTCTGGTATTGAAGAGGATGTAAGACACAAGATTAATTGCGGGTGAAGTGGAAAGAAGAATCTAGTGTTGTTATGTAATATGATAATTTCAATGAGGCTGAAAGATAAGTTCTATAAGACTAGTAAAACTAGCTATGATTGTTTTAAAGTGTTGGGCGTTTGACAAGAGAACAGAGCAGAGAAAGATAAACCATCTTTCTCTGCAGAGAAAGATGGTTTGGTCATGTTATGGAAGAGAGGAAGCTGTAAAAACAGTTATAGAAATGAATGTTGATAGAAGAAGAGGTAGAGGAAGACCAAAAAAGAAATGGAGGAATGTTATTGAATGCAACATCTAAACAGCTGATGTGTGTGTAGATAATGTGGGAGATTGTGTCAAATATAAATTTAGAATAAGAGTGGCTGACTCCAAGTAGTTGGAATAAAATTAAGGAAACAGAAAAAGAAGAAAAAGACTTTTATTACAAGTAAATTTCTTGTAATATTTATAACATATTCTGATAGAACTCAATACATAATATAATAAATTATAATATATCATAATAAAAATAAAAGTTAAGTAATTTACAACATAAACTACTACTCACAAATATCATTTATAAAAATTTAAAAAATCTTCAACTATCAAAATGTTTTGTTTTACTGAAACAAGTATTAACTTTCACTTTCTAGATTTTTATTAGGTCCACATTTTTAATTCTATAAATATGTCTTTGAACAAATAATAATAAATTAAAAATTTTGTATACAAATTTAACTTCATAAAAAATCATTGATTCTAACGTATACAATAATTTTTACTCTTTAAATCGTACAGTCAGAGTAGGAAGGCTATATCTTTATAAAACGATTTTTGAAATAAACAATTTTAGAGTTCTGACTCTAATTTTTTCAACATTAATTTTTAATTTGTAACAATATTTAAAATAATAAGTTTATTTTTTTTTTAATTAACTACATTAAATCACATAAAAATGTTAAATATTATCAATTCCGAAATATATCTCTCTTGTACTGAGAATTCGAAGTATTTTGTTTTTATTAAGAAGAAAATTAAACATTGAATTGGACCCTTAATCTCAGTAATGTTACAATTATATTGCATTATATTTGCATAATGCAAGACCAACAGTTATATAACACGCATTTTGTTTATATATACAACTTAAATGTTGAGAAAAAGGCAATGAGGAATATTTGTTTTAAAATCGGAATTTTAATAAAAAAAATAACCTAAATTATCCAATATGGATTACATTATTACAAATGAACGGGAATAAATATGGTAGTGATGGGTTAGGACACGTGGTATATACACAACAGCCGACTATAGGCACGCTGGTCGTAATACGATCGAAGTATTATAAAAAAGGATAAAGTGGGTGGTTCAACGTACATGCATTTGAAATGATACCTCAAAAATATAAGTCAGTAATTCTAACGCAAAAATTAAAGCATTTTTTCAATATCAGGAATTGATGATAATTTTAATAAAATCACAAATGATATCGTTACACCAAAAACAAAAATAAATGGTTGACTGATTGGGTTGGGGATATTATCGAATGTGTATCCTATTCATCCCCAAGGAATGGACCCGTTGCTGCCGTCACTACCCACTATAACACTACCATCACCTCCGCGTATTCACCGAAATCAATATCCGCCACAGCCGGTGTTGCTCGTGGTAGTCAAGTCGACCCTGTGGCGTCACGCAGACACATAACTCCGTCTTGATACACAACTACCTTGTAGCAAACAATTACGATAAAAAAAAACAAATAGTATTAAAAAAGTTATAGAAACTATTATAGTTTACACTATAATAGTTATTAAGTGTACGCTGAAATTTTAATAAAAATATCAATTTCAATATACCAAAAGATTTATAAAGCTAAACGAAAACCGTTACGTAGAAGCCACCAATAGTCAAAAACCTATAAAAGATACAGCGTAACTCAAATATGCATCTCAATATATTCCAGTGGGCTTCAAAACAAGAATACACTTAATAAATGCATAACCATCTTAAAAATAATGTAACTTAATATTTTCTATTCCGACATAAATATAATAAATATAAACTCAAACTAAAAACGAATAAATACATCATTTTTTCATTTTAAAGTACAAATTTACAAAGTTTAAAAAGTCAATAAGTGACTGAGTTTATATTACATCACAATTATTTTCAAAATCGATGTGCTTGAACAACTGAATAATATAATGAAGAGAAATACTTATCATGGGTAAATAATTTTACTTATACGAGTACGTGAATTATGTTCTAAATTCAGTCAATATCTAAGACGACCAAAAGTAAACGTGTTGATGAAAGAATGGTACAAGTAGAAGGCACCGTTACCCTAAGCAGTAACAGTAATATAAGGCCAGGCAGTAGTGGTTGCTGGCTGGTGTTAATAACCTGAGTCCTGAATGATGAACCAACAATTGTTCTCCCCTCCCATACATACTCCTCATACTTCCAAGTATACTGAATATATGACCACCCACGATATTTTAAGTTATGGGATATCAACAACAATCACAAACATTTCCCGAACCTAAGAAATATTACATAATCGTTACTATTAAATATTTAAATTTCATATAAACCACGGAATAAAAGCATAATGCACGCACTATATAGCATGTATAATCAATTAAGTTTAAATACAAATAGTATTTAAGATATTAACAACGAACTCTAATTTAATTTCCTTAAAATTTTAACATCAAAATTAAAAACATTTCTTAATAGAAAAATCATTTTATCACTTAACTAAATGTTAAAAAAAAAAAATTTTAAAAAGGAAAGAATTTTTTTCTTGCATATACTTAAATATAAATATGCAAGTTTATTTACAAACATTCTTATTTCCAGACAGTTGAGGAATATATTTCAGAGAACGCTAATTTACAATGTTTTGTACTAGTTTTCAATTTTTGATAACCACTGCACGCGTCCGGTTGTTACGGTACGCAGAATTACCGAGGTGTCAGTAGGGTCCCCACCACCCAAGCTACCACATACAACAATATGATCAAAAGAAACTGCATGTAAATCCTACAGCGTAACGACACCGGCCGAAGTGAAAGAGGTCGGTGCCGGTCGGATTTTTGCGCAAGACGATCGCCGACCGTGACCGAACGCGGCAACGTTGCCCCCCGCCTATAATATCAGCATTCAACCATAGAAGCATTTTCCCATGATGTCCGCACGATGGCGGCCTCATCGTCCCGAAAAAGAACATCTGCCGGTGAAACTACGGCGAGGAAACGTAATGTACAACACCGTGCTAGTATATATAGGTATATAAACATGATGACGAAAACGAGTTGATGCAGTCGGGGTGACAGTAAGTTGGCTTCCCCTCTCATAATATAAAATCACCCAGAATTTATAATGGAGGGGTACTACTAGCAACAATCATTGTGCATAGTAAAAATCGCATACCTATAACAGCGAAATAAACAATAACAACGTAAATAAAGTATACATTTAACCCATTTTGTGGCACACTAGACGTTTGATGAAAAACAGACATAAGACGATCAAAGAATGATTACAATGATTAACCAGCGAAAACTTATGATAAACGGATTTTGAAAACCGTTATCAACTAGATCAGTGGTTACACGATGAAAAGTTAACTCGCCATTAACATTAATTTGAGTGTTACCAGGCGTTCACCCCTCCAATTAACCTGTTACCAAAATTCAATACACTAAATAAAAACCAGTTTAAGCAGCAAAGGGTTGCGTATACAATACGTCGCATTTCTCATAATAATAAGGCCACCAAACCAACATATCCACTACCGACGCTAGCATAATAACAGTGACAACTAAACTCTCAAATTTTTTTACATCGATCATTTAAATATTTGGATAAATCAAATGATAACATATTCAGTTTTTCATGTTAATAAAGACAGATCATTTTAGACAATTGAGGTCATCTAATTAAAGTTTTATTTTTTTTAATAAAAATCAAAGTAAATAATAGTAAAAAAGACAAATAATACAACCATTGTTATTACTACTATTACCAATATTGTGCAACTATTATTAAAGTAAATCAGTGTGACATACGCATAAAAAGTTTTAAAATACGATGTCATTACACTGTAAAACAGTAAAGGCAGATGGCAAAATTACTCTTTATAGGTTAGATAAGGAATAATATACGTATAGTGATATTATGATATAGAAGATCGGAGTATACTATAAAAACGACAACAATGTCACAATATTGGCAAACCTGTTCAATATTATAAATAATGAAATCACGGTCAATTCACTATATTAAATGTTTCTTTTTAAACATAAACTAATATTGGAAACAGTTTATCCAGAAATATCAACAATTATCTAAATATGTAATACAGATAATTCAATTTTAACTACATTACTCTAAAGTAAATAATTCATAATTATTCAAACTCCGAAAATATTAAAAATTTCATACTATTAGAAATAAATAAAAATTACATTTTATTATAATAATAGTCACAGCAAGACAATAAAGTAATTAATTGTAAATAAAACTCAAGACAATGCGTATTTGGGAAACCCTGAAAAATCGAAAACATACCGTGTTCTCCGAGTGAACTAATTCTTAGACAGTGGAATGAGTTGATAGTTTATTTAAAAACAGCTATTTAGTTGGTATTTATCATTAATAACCAATTAAAAATATAAAAAAAAATTAACAATATATCATTTAACATAGTTCAATATACTTATTTCCAACTATACTATAATAAAATGTATTTAATATTATTTTATTAAAACTATAGTCATATACTATTAATAAATGTAATCAGCACAATATTTTCCAAACATAACCTACCTTATTAAAATCAACAAATTATTTAAACTAGCAATAAGAGACAATATTTAAGACTTAACTACTGATTTCTATGATATTAAATTTATATTAATATCAGAGTTAAATTCAGAATTTTTTTCATCTAATATTAAATGAAACATTGCATCAATTAATATTACTAGACTATCATTATCATCCTGAAATTGCCAAGGAGCTCCAACCTCCCAAGTATACCTCTCTAGATTCAAAATTAATTAATATACAAAAAAATTACTAGAACATAATAGAATAGGCTAAGAGCAATTTTTTAAAAATATAACAGAAAATATTTTATTGGTTTTGACATATTTATCACTATACTTTTTTTTTAAGAACACTTATTTGAATATACATGAAATAGATTTAATTGAAAAATCTCAGTGTTAAAGGAGGTATAATTCCTAAGAAACTGTAACACGGGGTAAATTACAAAATTTTCATTATATTTTTTATGAAATAAAACTACTTATGATAAGATTTTGCCTTTTTTTAGAAAAAAATTAGCTTGTGATTATTAGTTGTGATAGTATTTATAGCGTATAGAACTTATTTAATATTTGTTGACACATAAATATATAAAAAACAGAATATATACTAAGATATAATAACATACTCTAATCATCAAAGTGTTGACATTACTTTTGATACAATATAAGAAAATATGAAATTATAAAAAGAAATTTCATGAACATTTACATTTAGTATTAATGTGTAAGTAGTTTTTATTCTATATATAATTTTTAACAAAATCTAAATCAATGATTAAAAGACTAATTTCAAATTATCAGTAAAATGATATTAATCATAATACTAAACAAATTTTTGATTTTGATTCTACTCAACAAGATATAAAATTCATAAAATTTGAATTTTTGATTCAAAATTTGTAATCAAACCAGTCCATTTTTTAGTTGGATAATTTTATATTAGATATACATGATGCAGTTTTAAAAAATTAAGTTGATACCATTATAATACATAAGGGATAAACACAAATAATATTTAACCACTCAAAAATTGAGGAATAAATACTACTTAAATAAGATGAAAATAAAATTCTCTTAATCATTATTATTTTAGAAGAAATCTAGTGATCATCACAGTAAATTCTTTTAACAACCACATAACTCATAAATAATTTTTTCAAAAGAGAAATTTTAAAATTAAAAGTGCATTGAAATGTATTAAAAATAAATAAATCTTATTTCAAACAGTTAAATATTGAGTTCTAAGCCTAATATAATTGTATACCTCATCTGTCTTAAAGACATATTATGGGATATAATGTAGTTAAAGAAGTAAACAATATGTAATAATCTTACTGTTCGTTTTTCAGGTTGAGTTTGATAATGTTCAATTTAGGAATACAATGTATGATATACAAAGGATGATGATTTATATATACAATTTGAAGGCAATACTAAAATTATTGAATTAATTTTTTAAATAATTTTACTGCTTACATGAGGGGTAGGAATTTTCTCAAAATTATTATTTTAGAAGAAATTTAGTGATCAAAGATAAATTAAAACCTCAGAAACAAAAACCATTTAGCTACTCATGTCAATTTAGGCTTCAATTTTTCAACAAATTTTAATGTATGTCGTCAATTTAACAAATAAATTATTTTTGAACTAAATTTAATTAAATGATTATACTGATTATTCAATGAAAAATGTTATCAAAAATATACTATATTTAATTTAATAGATGATACATTTTGTATCCAAATCATTTTCTAATTTTTTTGATTGAGCTAAATTTTAAATTATATATGCAGAAGCACTATAAACCATTTCTTTACTAACTACAATAGCATAAATAACTTTCATTTAAATTAAACACAAACTGGCTAGCTTTTTAATTTCAACTCCAAAAATATCATTAAAAATCATATATTAATTGTTACTAAATTCTTATTATTTATCTTGATTATTCTACACTGTAATTTACTAGTTGAAAGAAACTTTTATTAATTTAATTTAGTCTATAAATAATCAATTACATGTATTAAATAGAACGCTTCTAAACATTTGACAAAATAATAAACTATTAAAATATATGATATATTACATTAAATATATATTAATTTATTAAACATACAAATAATTGTTGCTAATGATTTAGAATTAAATATTTTAAAAATTTTACAATTAATTAAATATTTATCACAATATAGGTTTACAACTCCATAAAGTACACATTTATTTTAAGATTTTTATTCCGAACATTTTTTGTAAAAATGCCACACTATAGAGTCTACATTGATCAAAATATTTGATAAAGTAACTGCAGCAATAAGAAGTATCTTACTTTAAAAGTTTTCTAAAAAAATATAATTTAAAGCAAAAATAACCCTGAAAGCCTTTAAAACTAATTTGATAATTTATAATAATTAAAATCTTTTTTACTGGCATTATCTTTAAAATATAATAAAAATCTTTCATTACAGCAAGAATTCAATTAAATTATAAACTATTGATTACTCAGAATATAGAATATATAATAATAAAATATTTAACAAATTAAACTTCTTAATTTTAAAAATATTTTTATAAAATATATTTTCTTAATTTTAAATCATAACAAGGAATATGCATGCGGTCAATAATTATTTCATATTTATCACTTTTAAATTATTATTTTCAAAAGTACGAGCAATCATAGTAATGAAATTATTAATCACAAAATTTATATCAAACAATTGACCAATAAGCAATACAATAGATACTCTAATGATAAATATTTTTACACTGACATTTGAAGCCAAATATCTAATTGTTTGTTATATGATTCGTAACTAAATTCTAATGAAATATACTTATAAATAACAAAAAGATAGATATTTCATTAGTTTGGACAAAAAATAGGTCATATTAAATAAATCATTAAAAGGTATAAGACAGTTGTTAATAAAACTAAATATGAGGTATTTAGAGCATAGAATTGAAACAGTCTATTTATCAAGACGACTATAAAGCAACTGGTTGGTGAAAGCTAACAGTGAAACTTTAACCAAATAAACATTTAGAACTTCTAATAATTATCATAAGATTTAATCTGTTTGTTTTTGATAGAGAATGTAACTTATGTTTATATGATTAACCGAATAGAAAGTAGTAGAGTATCAATAGTATCACAGTAGATAAGGGATGAACTATTGACGAGTATCCCTTAAAGGAAAACACTTATACAAAAATAAGTATAAGCCACTTCAAAAACTTTACTAACCAGGGCGAAGAAGTTTGTATGGCAATCCTCCAAGCTGGCACCGTTGGTCTGATGGCTGGCGTGAGTCATTTTTCATTGGACATTTCGCCCGGTACGACGACGACGACGTCTTGGACGTCACACAAACACCACCGTTAAGGAGCCGGCGGACCGCGGACACCACGAAGACGCGGGACACGCGAAACAATTTCGGCCGAACGACAAGTTTGAGTTAATACGTACGGACATAATCACAAGCCGGAAACGCGACAATCATAATCCGAGGCGCCCGGAGCTGCGTTGTTGTTCATATTCGACGACGGCGAGTCGCGTAAAATGGCGGACACACCAACACATACACTCGCGCATCTGATGCACGCACGCACAAATCGAAGGACCGCGCACCCGATTGGTTCAACACCCGTCACATGGTTAACACAGTGGTAACCAGAATAGCTGCTACTGTGGTAAAAACATACGCTGTCCTCTTAATACTGATCAAGGATGGCCCGCTACGTTTTAAAACGATCTGCCTATATGGTTCCCCAAAACCATAGCGAATATTTGTTTACTTTACCACAATTTCAGGTAACTAAAAACTTTACAATAACTTTACTAATAATTTCTCATATATTATTTTAAATTTTACGATATCACTTTGAAGGTTATGGTCGTAGGAATAACTTTTTAAAGCATGTCTCAATTTTAGTTTTTAACCAGTAAATTATATGATTAAACTATGTAAACAATTGATTTCTTTAAAAGGTTGTATAATCAACAACAAAATATCTCCTATAGTATTAAACATTCGATTTTTTTGAAAATGATTTGACTGTACACATTATCAATATAAAGAATGGGTATTGATAAATGTTATTTCGTGGAAATCAGTGTCGCCTAGTTTGGTGTAAACAAAATCCCTTACTAAATAAAGGCCATACTTCAATTAGATCTAATCTTACTATGATTAAAAAAAATTTTAATAAAAAGTACATTTGACTAAGGTATTTTTAATTATTAGATCTTAAGGGTCAAAAAAATGTACACCTGCCAATTTTATAGTTCAGTTAAAAATTATAATTTTTATTTTCCTTATTTCAGATTAGAAAATTACACAAAAAAGTTAAGAGAAGTGTACCCTTTATACCTGCACGAAGCCAAATAAAATCAAATACAAGCGCTATAGCATCTCGAGGGTTCGATACTAGTTATTCATTAATTAAGATAGTTTTCAACTGTTTTATATCACTTATAAAAGAACGTGATAAGAAATTAATTGAAAAAATTTTGAATTTTGTGTATTCTTTTGAAATAATTTTTCTTAACTAAGTTTTCAATTAAAAAATTATTACTCATTGAAAACTAGAAAAACTGAAAATCAATTTAAAATGATAAAAATTATTTGATAATATTTTGTTTTAGATTTTTAAGACCTTTAAAGGAGTATGATCCTCCTTTAGATATCCGTAGTACTATTGAAAAAATAGCAAGTAGATATTTAAATGAAACAAAATTAACATACAAATTGGAACCAAATGAAAAACTTCATATTTTAAAGAAATGTGAAGAAATAATAGACCACAGAGTACCTAATTCACTTTTACATTCTATCAATACTTTAGGTGAAATTAATTTTTTATTAGTGAATAAAATTTTATGTATTAATTTTTTTTTTTAGGTGAAATTTATGAGTTTTATGAAACACCAGTAAATACTGTTGTTCCTTATGACGCATTACAGAGGCAAGAATTACCACCAAATCTTCATATACTCTCAAATTACCATAGATTCCATCCTGAAACTGACATGATGTTTGATAGTATTTCAGCATTCCCACAAAGTTCAAATCTAGTAACTGGATTGAAAACTAGAAAGAAATATAAAGGATTTACTGCATCACAATCGCCATATGCCTACCATGATTAATAATTTGTTATTATTATTATGAATTGTTGAGGTTATGATATGATGACATACATAGTAATTTATTGTTTAAATATATTAGTTGTTCTTAAAATATATTATAATTTATTCATTTAATTATGTTTTCTTTTCCATTTTATACATATTTAGTTTTTACTAATTTCAAAGATAATATATACTTTTTTTATTAAAATGAATACTTAAGCATTAATAAAGTTAAGTTAAAAAGTTAATTAATGTAATTTACCCAACCTTTAATCCTTTTAAATTAATAATTCTCTTTATGAAAACACACTAACAGTATAACTTAATTAAGATAATTGTTCACTTAAATTCAATTTTAGCCACATTAAACTCATAATAGCATAAAGTAGTGGTTCATAAAAAGGAAGCTTAAATCCTGATCACAACTTATAAATACTATTATATTTTATAATAAGTTTTTATAAAATTTTCTATCATCTAAAAAAAAATTATAATTATGGTTTAAAGCAAAACATTTTGCAAAATAACAGTCTAAATTAAATTTTATGATCAAATATAAAAAGATATACTTAAGATATAGATCTCAAATGTTACAAATATTTATTAAATACAACCCATTAAATTAAAAATGAAATTTTGGGCAAAAAAAATTTTTTTTGAACAATTACTTCATAATTACCCAATTTTTTTAATAATTAGTGAATATTTTAAAAACTTAATTCTGAAAATTCCAGTTTCAGAACCAGGGAAAAAATATTATTAAAGATCTATAATATTGTTTGATATTCTGCAGAAAAATCGGAGGAACTACTTCAGATTATACTAGGCTCAAACGAACTTTTGACTAGCCCAAAATTTCACAAAGCTATTTATTTCCCCTATGATTTATCGCCTATAATTAAATTTTACAATTTAACAAAAGTTCGTTAGGAAAAAATATTTTTCTTATCAAATAAAATATTATTTTCATGGCTAAAATTTGAATTTTTACTGTTTCACAGAATACATTTAAATGGTATGACTCAGCCTAGTATGAGTATAGATCGACCGTCAGCGATATGAAAATTTAGATTAATGGCCAAGTTGGCCGATACACAAATAACCCTTTGAGAGCAATCAAACATTTTTGAATAAGCATTTTATTAAATAACGCGTTATTTGGATAATTGTAAGATAATTAGCAATACGTTATTTGATATAAAAAATAACTAAATTACTACTCCTACTTAAAAAGTACAATCATTAAAGTAACGAGTAACGTACATTACGTTATTACCCTGCACTACCTAGAGTATAGGCGTATATAATTGGAAAAAAAACATAATTCAAAATATATTTTTTAATAAAATTTGATAACCAACTGAACTATATATAAAAAACCCAGCACAGTGGGGTCGTGGCATAGTTGGGTCCAGTNAAAAAACGGTAGCACAGTGGGGTCGCGGCATAGTGGAGACATTGCATAGTAGGGTCCAGTATAGATTTAATCTGACAGTGATTAAAATCACTATCATAAAAAACGCTTCGATGCAAATCTGTAGATAGTGTTTAATTTAAAAAAAAAAATTTGTTAAAATAGCATATTTTTGTATATGGTAGCCATTTGCGCATAGAAGATAGGTCATCGGGACAAATTTTTTTTTTCATTTTATAGTACATAAAATAAGCTTTAATTTGATATAAGTTTAAAGGACGCAATATTTGCGGAAAATTTTCAAAAATTAAGTTGAAAAAGTTATTTTTTGTAAAAAAGTTACTATTTTAAATCCCCCCAATGAGCAGAATAAGTGTTAGATTTTCAAAAAAAATTATATCAAATGAAAGGGAAATATCTAAGGTTTCAATTCAAAAAAATTGTATTTTTATTTGTTCATTTTTGAAAAAGTTATGGCAGTTTTAAGTACAAAAAACATCCCGATAAAATGTAATTTTTATCGCAAACATTACATTTTTTTTAAAATTTTCGACAGCCATTTGCACATAGAAGATAAGATGTCGGGACAAATTTTTTTTTTTCATTTTATAGTATATAACATAACCTTTGATTTGATATATGTTTAAAGGACGCAGTATTTCCGGAACATTTTCAAAAGTTCAGTTGAAAAAGATCTATGTTTTTTACAATATTTTAAGTTTTGAACGCCCCCTATATAAGGGGAAATTGTCCAATTTTAATAAAAAGTATGTCAAATGAAAGATGTACTTATAATGTATTTAGAAAAAAAAAATTTGTGCTGATATATACATTTTTCAAAAAGTTATAGCATTTTTAAGTTGAAAATTTAAAATCGAAAATCGAAAATTTTAACACAAAAATAGTGTTTTTTTAACTACGGCAGCCGTTTAAATGTAGAAAAAAAAGTGTCGGGACAAATTTTTTTTTTTCATTTTGTAGTACATAAAATAAGCTTTAATTTGATATATGTTTAAAGGACGCAGTCTTTCCGGAACATTTTCAAAAATTAAGTTGAAAAAATTAATTTTTGTAAAAAAGTTGCCATTTTAAATCCCCCCCAATGAGCAGGTTAAGTGATAGATTTTCAAAAAAATGATATCAAATGAAAGGTAAATATCTAAGGTTTTAGTATAAAAAAAAATTATGTTGATTTGTTGATTTTTCAAAAAGTTATGGAAGTTTTAAGAAAAAAAAGTGAAAAAATTTCGAAAATTAGCGATTTTTAAATTTGTAATTTTTTTGGATATTTCCCCCATTTGCGGGGAACGAGGGAATTTTTTTCAATTTTTAAGGGTAATGTCTTCAACTAGATACGATTTGTGATCTTTTGACGTATTTTTGAAAGAAATCGGTCCAGTGAGAGCTGAGAAAAAGTGGCAACAGACACAAAAAAAAAACACATATTAGTAAAACCAATACATTCTCAGCTTCGCATCGAAGCTAATAAAATGTTTAAAAACAATCAATTTAACAATAACAAAATTTGACTCCTCTTCTTTTTCTTCGACTTTATACCAACTACTTGGAGTCCTTTACCCTTATCCTAAACTTCCACTTGACACGATCTCCCATATCAGCCGTCCTCATATCGGATTCAATTACATCCCTCCATTTCTTTTTTAGTCTTCCTCTACCTCTTCCATCTTCAACATTCATTTCGATAACTTTTCTTACACCTTCCGTTTCCTCTTTCCTCAAAACATGACCAAATCATTTAAGTATATGTTATATAGAATATAACATATATACTGTATGTTATCATTGTTATCAGAGAAATAATTTAGTTATATTATAATATATAACTGTCTTTTTTCCCTTAAGTTATCCACGATTGACGCTACACCTATACTCCCTCTTATATGTTTGTTCCTTATCCCATCTTCTATAGTACTTTATACTCTAAATACTTTTGTTTGAAACGTGTTTAAAACACCAAAAATGTCAACATTTACATTGGTCTATTGGGACCTTTTTATTTGTTTATTTATGTTATACAATTTTTTTTTTTCATAAATTTTAGCTTCGATGCGAAGCGGAGAAGGTATTAATTTTACTAAGATGTGTTTTTTTTTTGTGTCTGTTGCCACTTTTTCTCAGCTCTCACCGAACGGATTTCTTTCAACGATACGTCAAAAGATCACAAATTGTATCTAGTCGAAGACATTACCCTTCAAAATTGAAAAAATTTCCCTCGTTCCCCGTAAATGGGGGAAACCTCCAAAAAAATTACAAATTTAAAAATCGCTAATTTTCGAAATTTTTTCACTTTTTTTTCTTAAAACTTCCATAACTTTTTGAAAAATCAACAAATCAACATAATTTTTTTTTATACTAAAACCTTAAATATCTACCTTTCATTTGATATTATTTTTTTGAAAATCTATCACTTAACCTGCTCATTTGGGGGGATTTAAAATGGCAACTTTTTTACAAAAATTAATTTTTTCAACTTAATTTTTGAAAATGTTCCGGAAAGACTGCGTCCTTTAAACATATATCAAATTAAAGCTTATTTTATGTACTACAAAATGAAAAAAAAAAATTTGTCCCGACACTTTTTTTTCTACATTTAAACGGCTGCCGTAGTTAAAAAAACACTATTTTTGTGTTAAAATTTTCGATTTTCGATTTTAAATTTTCAACTTAAAAATGCTATAACTTTTTGAAAAATGTATATATCAGCACAAATTTTTTTTTTCTAAATACATTATAAGTACATCTTTCATTTGACATACTTTTTATTAAAATTGGACAATTTCCCCTTATATAGGGGGCGTTCAAAACTTAAAATATTGTAAAAAACATAGATCTTTTTCAACTGAACTTTTGAAAATGTTCCGGAAATACTGCGTCCTTTAAACATATATCAAATCAAAGGTTATGTTATATACTATCAAATGAAAAAAAAAAATTTGTCCCGACATCTTATCTTCTATGTGCAAATGGCTGTCGAAAATTTAAAAAAAAATGTAATGTTTGCGATAAAAATTACATTTTATCGGGATGTTTTTTGTACTTAAAACTGCCATAACTTTTTCAAAAATGAACAAATAAAAATAATATTTTTTTGTATTGAAACCTTAGATATTTCCCTTTCATTTGATATAATTTTTTTTGAAAATCTAACACTTATTCTGCTCACTGGGAGGATTTAAAATAGTAACTTTTTTACAAAAAATAACTTTTTCAACTTAATTTTTGAAAATGTTCCGGAAATACTGCGTCCTTTAAACATATATAAAATTAAAGCTTATTTTATGTACTACAAAATGAAAAAAAAAAATTTGTCCCGACGATCTATCTTCTATACGCAAATGGCTACCATATTGAAAAATATACTATTTTTGTATGATAATTATGGGTTTTGTATTTTATTTTAATAGAAGTTGATGTTGCTTTTGCAATTATCCATCAATTTTTTAAAATTAAACACTATCTACAGATTTGCATCGAAGCGTTTCTTATGATAGTGATTTTAATCACTGTCAGATTAAATCTATACTGGACCCTACTATGCAATGTCTCTACTATGCCGCGACCCCACTGTGCTACCGTTTTTTAATATATTTTTAAAAAACGTTCGAAGATTAGGTTAGAAGGAATATCCCTACTATCCTCTGTAAATTTTTTTTAAAGCAATTTCATAGTATTTTTGGTTTCTATAATTATTAACTATTAAACAAATTCTTGAAAAATTCGATATAGATCAACTAACTTACTAGATATATTTAAAATTTTTGAAAAACGTATATATTAAACTAAGTTATAAAATAGAAAATTAATAAAATGACTTGTCGATACAACTTTTGGACCAGTGCTTCGGAAGATATTCACATTTTTAGAATAGGAATGCGGCTGAGAAATAACTAATGTTAAAAGTAGCAGCATTTGCGCTTCATCTCTAGTCAATATTTTAAAATATTAACGATTTCTTAAGTAATGGTTCAAAAATTGTCATCAACCAGTACTTTTTTCAACTAGATAATTTTCTATTTTATAATTTAGTTTAATATGTATGTTGTCATTAAAAAAGTTAATACCCCTTTAGATATAAGATACGGACCTAAAAATTATTTTATAACAGATAAATAGAAATACATATGCAATTAACAATATTGAAATACTTAATATTTTAAATGAAATCGAGTAGCTAGCGTTAAAATAATTACCATGCAATATATTGCATGTCTTGAATTAAAAAACACATAGACCAACATTTTAATAATTAGTCTATTTTAATCAATGTATAAAATAATTTTTAATGTGAACATAGTGAACTATTAACTATGTCAGAAAGCATATTTTAAAAAAAAGTAACATATTTTCATTAACTTAAATGGAAATTAAATTGTGCTCTTTTGAAAAGCAAGGAATTGGTTGATACGCTTCTTTAATTGTAGACTCTCGAATATATAAATATATATATATACAAGATTCATATGTATTATACATGTAAAACGATCACTATTCAAAGGTTAATAGTCCATTTATCAAGGTTCAACTTTAAATTTGATAAATTAATAGTTATAAGGTTTAGTATTCAAACTTATATTACACTTCATAAAAAAAAAAGATGAACATTTTAAGGATAATTTTAATTATTGTTCAAATTGTATTTTTAGTACAAGGAATACGAAATGTAAAACCTGAAGGTATGTATCGACTATACATAATTATTATATGATAATTAAGGTTAAATTGATGGAAATCTATATTACAACACTACATATCTCAGTTTTTGTAGATTCTTAATACCAGATATGATTTTACTTTTAGAACATAAAATGAAAACTCGAGTCTTTCAAAAAAGTCCATTATGTTATATACTAAAAAATTTGCAGAAACACTTATTATTCTGTCATTATTGTACAGTATAAGCAATGAAGTAAGGTCCAGAACTACTCAAACTTAATTAAAGATCCCCTAATAAAGTCGATATACAGAATAATTTGTTTGTCATAAACCCTATGAAGGGTATAATGTTGGTGGTACCTATATAAGGTATAAGGGATGAACATAAAAATACTACTTCATGATTGATAAATTAAGATAATCATGTACCTATAAAAGAATTCTAATAAAAAATTCTCATTATTTTTAATTTTTGATTAATTCAGTGGATCATGATATATGAATTACCCTCTTTAATATTGTTAACTTTTATAATTACATGTAATTTTTTGGGAACTAAGAACTCAAAAATAACAAACAAAAAAAAGTTATCAAAAATTTTAATAAAACAGATAAAATAGAATTTAAAAGTTGGTAATCACATAGACGCTCTACCACAGAGTATTATTACTGCGCCCGTCTTCCAATTCTACTCTCACATAAAAAATTACTTTTGAAATAAAATAAAATTTAATTGTTTTCAATTATGTCAAAAATTACACAGCTTGATGCATTTATAAAATTATATTTGAATTATTACCACATCGTTAAGTACCTATGATACTAAAAAATAATAAAAGAATAATTGATATCCGATTTAGTTGAGAACAGTTTTATAATTAAAAACATTAATTTAGTGTTTTTTCGATAAAAATATATTCTAATGAACTTATTTCATAATTATTTATATTTATTATTTAATTATAACTTATTTATTAATATTTTGGCGAGGAACTATAAATGTTATCCAAAAAAGAATAATTTGACTTATTCGCCATTTTTTTCTATAAAACCAAAATTCTTATCTAGTTAAAAAAAATTAATGTGATAATAAAAATTTTCTTGAATTTTAGGTCCATGTGAACCAGGAGAATTAGTATTTGTTGGATATTGCAATTTATGTAAATGTAACAATCAAGGCATACCTAATCAAATTTGTGCTAAATCTTGGTGTTCAGTTAATACAACATTTCCAATTACAGTTCAATCAATAAAAACTAAGTAATTCTCAACCACCATAAATAAGAAAAATATATCAATTTTNATATATATATATATATAAATATATGTACAAAGTTTATATTACACTAAAAGTTAAAAATACTTCTAATCGAATGTATTATACATATCATATAGATGAATCATGTACCTATTTTATTTCAAAAACATAAAAGTTAACTAATATTTCGCAGACAACTTACATTCTTCAAATGCATTCAATCCTTCACCACATTTACAAAATTATTGAAAAAAATATATATACTAACACAGAATAAATAAATATTAATCAATATTAGACTAAAAATTACAATAATATTTTTGTTTGTTAAACATCAATTGTAAAATATCAATGTTTTAAAAATAAAAAACAATTACAAAAATATGTCAACTTGTTGAATTCTTTTATTTAAAATAAAATGTTTACATCATTCCTTCATCTATAACTGTGAAATTTTCAGGAAGAAATAAGTGTAAAACAAGGTATGGTTGATTTTACCAAAAAATCAATAGTTAAAAATGCTTAATTTAAATTAATCGACAAAAAATAAAGTGACAGTGGTATACACAAATCACTTTATTTATATTACAATGTACATTGAATAACAGCTTAAATACTTAAACAAATACAAGAGATTTACTGATACTGGAGTAATTCCACCTGTTTATCACATTATTTAACAAATAGATACTTAATGATAAATATCAAGATGTCACTATAATTCTTCTGTATTAAATGTCAAATAAAATGAATGATAAAAAAAGACTAAATATTTACAACTGTATGATTTTGTTTTTGTATTTAAAAATATTATATACACATATCTGTATATATATATATATATATTAGTATTCGTATTTTATTTTAAATCCCAAAGATTAAAAAATTAACGTAATTACTAAAAAAGCTAATAGGGTTAGCTACGATGGTTAAATCCTTTGGTATTGTCAGGACCGCGAGGTTGACGTATTATATTGTCTTCAACTGGTATACGAATTATTGGTTGACGAAGTACTTCAAACTTCATACTTCCAGATGAACTAGCCCTATAATAAAATATATATATGATAATAACAGAATAAAAATACATTTTAATTAAAACTTTTAAAGTCATTTATTAATTTTTTTTTTCTTTTTAATTAATTTTTAAATAGTTACAATTATCTTTTTTTTTATAATAATGTAAACTAGTGAATAGATTTTTAAGAATATCGTATTTATATTTTAATTATTTTTTATTAAAACCAAAAATATATACAATTAAATTATAAGAGTTATTTAATATTATTTTTTTATTTTTTAATTAATAATGCAGCAGATACATCATAATCACAAAATTATTCAGTAGTTATGTGTAATGTAGTAATAAAAACCTACAATAATATTATAAGTTATAAGGTATATAATACAGGAAATAAGTGGTTTTATTATAATACCACTTATTTCAAAATCGGAGGGAAAATAATGATTTTGCAGTTACCTTGGTTATTAATAAAAAGAAACATAAGATTTTACATAATTTCAATGTAAAAACTCATTAAAGTCAAAAATGTAGATACTGTTTCTTACAGATTTCCTTAACGGTATTATAAAAATGAAAATTAAATAAGTACATATTATCTCAATTGTTTTCATATTATTCACATCGAATATAAAACTTTAAATCGTTTACCCTTCATCATCAACATTTTCATCATTTAATTCTTCACCCATAATTCTTAATCTTGCTTCAGCATACTCTTGTTTTCTCTAAATAAAATTCAGTGACAATGAATTCTACAAAACTATATTTAATAAATTTAATTTATAATGAAAATTATTTGATGATCTTAAATATATAAAAATCTTAATAAAATTTAAGCTTTAATTTAAAAATATTACCTATAAGATGAATTTAATAGTAATATATTTCCATTATAATGTAAAGTTTCATACTAAATAATAAAAAAAAAATCATACTTGTTCTAAAGATTTCACTAGTAACTTAGGCTTATCAGCAGAATCATTTGTAACAGTCACTTTTGGTGGTCGTTTTAAAATTTTTACAGTAGGCTGTTGAGGAATAGTCATTTGTTGATGAGGACTATACGATAGCTGCATGCCTGGTGGTAATGAAATTACAACATTACCATTGCTAAAATGAAAACATTTTTGAAATTATGTAAATATTAAAATACAGATTAAAATTCAATTTACTTCTCATTTTTTGTTGCTGAAGCTAGCTGCATTTTTTTTATTTGTGTACTTAGGATCTGAAAAAAATTAACATAATACAAACATAATCAGAAAATGTGGAAAAGTAATAAATTTAATAGATAATAAAGCAGCAATTAATTGTAACATTAAATTAAAAAAATTGAGAACATTACTCACAGAAGGGTCATCTAGAGCTTCCCAGCTTTCGTATGGTTCAGTACCCGGATCACACGCAGCCATAATATTGTACATAATAATTGTGTTGAAAATTTCCAAAAAATAAAAATATGATCTTATATTTGTCAAGAAAGCATAAAGAAATACATCATTATGAGCCAAATAAAATATATGATAATATTACTTATAACTATCACAATAAATTGTATTTAACATTTGGAGCCAAAGTGTCGTGTATCCTATTTTTCATCTCTTTCTCATTATATTAATATGATATGGCCGACTATGGATAAAGGCAAATTGGCAACACGATGAGATTATACTGTCAAAATTTTTTCATGGAAAAAAAACTTAGATCTGTTTTATACTCCAGAATTTAGTGTTATCAGGTAAAGAATAATATTTAAACCAAGGTGCGCGCATTACTTCATTAATTCAATTACTGTATCTACCATAAATAAGGCCGTATTCGGTGTAGAATTAAGATATTTTCTCAGGAAGGGCTCTATAGGCATTAGTTAACAAAAAAAAAAAAATTGGACATAATATCATAAAATTAAAACTATTAACGGTGATGAGCAATAAAAAAAGGTTACAAAAAAATAATTAAGAAGCCTTAAAATAACTAAATTGTCAAGAGAGCTATCAGTATCTCAGAGGAGGCTTCTTCCTGAATTATGGCTGGATTCAATAGTGGTGACGATAACCTAGGTACAAATCGTCTCTTAAAAGCAATACATCACATATCATTTTGATCAATGTGTTGGCAATAATGGCAATTTCTTGGAGGGAGTCCTAAAGAATAAAATTTACTTGGAATACTTTTGTCATTTTTATTTCTTGAAAAATTGGAAAAATGTTGCGCCTTAAACGACGAAATTAAATTAAATCTAAATTTAAAAATTTAGATTTCACAGTAACTTTAAGCTCCAATGTACCGATACTAAAATATTAAATTTATTATTATGTTAATTTTAGTTTAGTGCGAAGATGAGAAGGTTTGTATTTATCATGATGTGTTTTTTTTTGTGTATGTCCGTGAAAATTCACAAATATTACTTACCCATATTTGATGATCTACAAGTCAAAAGTACCGGAATTTAGTTGAGCTTAATGTTTTCAAAAATTAAAAAAACCCTAATTTTTAGAAATTTAATAAAAGTATCTCAAAAAATTTATTAGTAATAAAGCAAAATTATAATATATTTTATTACATTTCATAATCACAATTACTTAAAATTAGTTAAAATAAAATTTTAACCAAGATTTTATTGGCAATACTATAAATAAATATCTATTTTTTTTTATAAAAAATCTAATTAAAAAGTGAAGTACAAGAAGAGTTTGCTCTGTTAAAACTCTTGATAATGATATTAGTCACTATTAGACGACAAACTGAAATTGGATTCTACTATGACAGATTCACATAATACTGAGTAGTCTTGACTATACTGTTTTTTTCTTATGTCTGTCACTCTTACGCTCGATTTTTACTAGACTGATTTTGTTTAACTATGTGTCAAACAAACCCGTTAGATATAATGTTCACTAAATAAGGAAATGGGTTTCCTTACTGAACACCCACTAAAATTGTTGAATGGAATAGGTTATGTAATTAAAAGATTTAGAAATTATTCGTAATATAATAGTATTTAATATAAAATGTCAAAACATATAATATAAGAGATGTACAACGGCAACGGGTCACTTTACTCGATAGACGGTGAAACTACGACTAAACTGTAAACATGTATACAATAGGCTGCATTGAGTAAAACAACATAATCGTAAAAGGAATGTGTCCCTTTGACCTTGTACTATACTAACATAAGTAAAAATACATTAAACTGTTATCTTAAATAATATTACTGTACCCAGTGTGTTGTTTAATAATATCAACAATAATTAAAGCGATTATCATCAAAAATCGAAAAAAAACCTTAGTTTTTTTTTTCATAAATGAAAACTTTCAGAAAATTAAGTGTTGAAAACGGACAATTTTTATTTATTTTTCACAATTTAAAATCTCTGTAAATTTTTCGAAAAAATGGTATTAGCTCATTATTTTTAAGGATAATATTATGGACAATATAGTAACTCAAAAAGAAAGAAAAATATAATAAAATGGTTTATTGGGAATTGTGTAAAAGTTACTAATTTGTTGTTTATAATAATATTAATATTTCTCGGGGTATGAGCACGAGGGTTTGTAAGAAAAGTAAAGAAAATATATAATTTATTGTGATCAATTATTACACTCTTTTAATATCAATAATGCCACACAGTGGCGTGCCCAGGAATTTTAAATGGGGAGAGATGTCATAACTAATAGGTATTAATACAACTAAATACATTTAATGGGGGTGAAAGAATTAGAAAAAGATTAATAAGGAGGCTTTAGAGGTCAAGCCTCATTAAAATATTTATTAATATTTTGTGTTTTGTATGATATGATGTAATGTTTTTATACAAATATACAATGTAATAATTACAATTTTATTCAATTATTGCTGTTAGGTACTCGATGCTAGAAAAAAAACGCAATGGGGAGGGATATGACCCCTAACCTACCCCCCTGGACACGCCACTGATGCCACAAGTATTGACTATTGACTATTATAATTTTTATAATTAGTCATATTTAATAGTTACGGCAATTATTATGAGGTACTTGGTCATAGGACAAATTTTTCATTTATTTTACTAGCTTGAAAAATTGATAAAAATGAAATACCACCTCATGAAAAATAGCCTCAGATATGAGATATGGACTTAGTTCAAACAATGCACACAATAGACTTACAGGTCCGAGTACCTTTAAAAAATGAGCCTTGCATGATAAGTCTTTTCAAGAAGTTTACTTTTGTTACTCAATGATCATTAAAATTATAAGACACTTCCCGTATAGGTTTTAAACATGAAATTTGGCATTGTTTGAACCCCATAAAAGAGTTATCAATTTAGTATATGTTGACCTCTAGTTGGTAATACTGGATATGGTGCAATACCCACTTGTACTGTTGTTATCAGCTGCTGTTGCTGTTGTCAGTACAATTTAACGTTTCTGTGGTTTTTAAATATGTGAGTGTTCTCTCTAACCTGCAAGCTCATGCATTGTTTAACGTGCTCTACGTACTTCTACACACCGTAGATGGTTTTTATGTAAGCTCATACAGTGCTCTGTTCATAATTGTGCTCTCAAACAAAACCACATTGTTGCTATGAACAATGTAGACACTATTCTACAGTTTTAATGCACTGCTGTCCTATGCAGAGGATTCAATGAAATAGAGAATATCAGCTCAGATAACCAAGTCAATGTACAGCTCATGTGATCCATAAAGAGGCAGCTCAGCTAAACATCAAGGAGTATCCAAACACCAGAGAGAGTATTTGTTATATCCCTTAGCTCATAAGGCGACAATTGCGTTTTAAATATATAAATTAATTATTTAAAGGTTATGTACTTTATTTTAGGTTAAGTATTATCGGTCCACATGATCCTTATAAGCTATTGACGCCAACCGTTAATTTAGGAGTGTCATGGCGCAACATTGGTAGCAGAGCGTGCTTATATTTTTTTTACGGATTCTTTAATTCTACAAAGTGTAAGGTAATATCTTTGTTATATTTATTCTTTCCTTTTATTGCTCAATAAAGCTCCTTTTTTTGTTGCTCTACAGTTAGAAAAAATATATTAATTTTTTTGTGTTAGCTCTTTAAATTGAAACTTAACCTTAAAAGGTTTGGGGTGTTAATTTTTTGACTCTTATTATAAGGGGAGCATACTTATGTTTTTTTATTAATTTTAATTGAACAGTGAAGTATTAATTACGGTTATTATAGATTTATATGTTAACTTTATGATTTAATTTAGTTAAGTTTATGGTTTAAAGAAACGTGTTTTGCTTGGTGAGTGCTTTGAGCGTTGCTCGCACAATTTATTGTTGGATCACTCTTTAGCCATTTTTTCTTTATTTGGTCATTATAATTTGTTTGATTTGATTAATTAGTTTGGTTTTTATTGTTTGAATATTTTGTTGGTTTTACCTTTATTGGTTAGTTTTTGTCTTTGTTTTTTTTTTTTTTTCTTTTTTAATGTGATTGTTTAATCACTTTAGAGATTTAAGTAATTTTAGTTGGTTCTACTTGTCTATATAGTCTTTATTGGTTTATAATCATCTAGATTTCTTTTAGCGGTTTATTATTTTATAAATTTTTATTTTTTCACATTTTATTATTTATCATGGCTGATGATAAAAGAGATTTAAGAGCTAAGCAACGTGCCACAGCTAAAAGAGAAGCTGCTGCTGCTCATATTCACTGCATTTATAATTTGGCTGTGGGTGTAAAAGAAGACCTTGATCAATACAGACATTTAAAGGTAGCTATAGGTGATCTAGACTATTGGTGGAAGGCCTTTTCTACTGAAAATGATGCATTGTTGGATGCTATGATAGACTTGGGGGAGATTGATGAATTTTCTCATAACACAGAATTGGCTGTGCATAAAGAAATTATTGAAATTAAAGCTATTGCCCTTAAAGCTGATTCAGCATGTGTTCCTGTGCTTTCTGCAAACTTATTAGACCAATCATCTGTTGAACTTCCTGTGCACCCCCCTGTCTTGGATGTGCTTTCTACAATGTCCACTAATGCTGGTTCTGAAATAGTTGCATGCAATTCTCAATTGCCCAATATGCCTTTACCAAAATTTGATGGCGAACTACGCAATTGGCCAGATTTTCGTGACCGTTTCAAGTCCTTAGTCGATAAGCGACCTACACTCTCAAATGTTGACAAATTCTATTATTTGTTAAGCTGTCTCCAAGGGGATCCTTCTGAATTGTTAAAAGGGATTACTGTATCAGATGAAACCTATGCTATTGCTTGGTCTACATTAGTTGATCAATATGATAAACCTAGGCAACTAGCTGCTAGCATTATTGAAAATATGTTAAAAGCCTCTATTGGCACTTCAGAAAATGTTGCTAGCCTTAGACAGTTTATTCATACATTTGATGAAGGTATTGCTACACTATTGTCCATGAGGATACCAGATCTCGGTTCATTTCTTCTATTTTCTATTGCAGCTCGGTGTTTACCTACTCATAGTAGACGGTTATTTGAAGCAGAAAATAGTCTAGAGTATCCAGTGGTTCAGGATATCATTAAATTTGTTAAAAATCGAATCAAAATTTTAGAAAATGCCGGGATAGCTCCTTCTAATTCAGGGGTCTCTAAAAAACCAGTTGGTAATTTTGCTCAAAAACCGAATTACCAGTCACAGCATGAGAAACGTGTTGCTTTCCTTTCAACTGCTAAGGGTCAGCGACTCCCTATACAAAAACCAGCCAGCTCAGGTAAATGTTTTTGCTGCTCAGCTTACCATGTTCTTCAAGATTGTCCACAATTTAATAAGCTGTCTATTGATGAACGGTATGATATTGCTTGTAAACATAGATTGTGCCTTGTCTGTTTTGCTGAGGGTCATATGTCGTATAAATGTCCATCAGCATGCTCGATCTGTTCTCGCCGCCATCATGCTCTTTTACACAGAGACCAGCCTCGGTCACAACCAGTTGCTGGACCATCTCAAGCAGCCATGTTAGGAAGACTTCAAATACCTTCTATACTATTAGGTACTGCCATAATTTGTGTTCAGGACATAGCCGGTAATAATCACTTAATTCGAGCTTTAATTGATCCTGGCTCTCAGATCACCGCTCTAACATTAAATTGTTGTAACAAACTCGGCTTTCGGCCATCTCGTTGGACTATTCCTGTTACTGGTTTATCTAGCCAAAAGATTCCAGATATAAGTGGTTCTGTAGAAGTACTTATTGGACCAAAAGATATACAGTCTCCTAAAATTAAAATTAAAGCGTGGGTTATTAGCTCAATAACTACAAATATGCCATCTCAACAGTTACCATCTCAAGTTCGGGCTGAATGTAAACACTTATCTCTGGCCGACCCATCATTTGATACACCAGCTCCTGTTGATCTACTTTTAGGTGCAGATATATTCCCACAGATATGGAATAATGATAATATTCAGTTAGGGCCTGGTCTACCATCCGCTTACAGCTCGGTATTCGGATGGGTCCTAATTGGTCCTGTTCAGCAATCATTAGAAATTTTCCCTCAATCATTAGCCGTTACATTATCTACTTCTATTGAGTCATTGATGGAAAGATTCTGGAATATTGAAGAACCAGCAGCAGCTCCTCTTGATTTCACTGAAGATGGGCAGTGTGAAACTATTTTTAATTCAGAGATGTACAGAAATTATGCAGGTCAATATTTTGTTCCTTTACCTTTTCGCTCTGACAGCTCAGATAGATTGTTCCCTGGTATGCATGAAGTTGCTCTGCGGCGATTTTATCAGCTAGAACGCAAGCTCTTGCGCGACCCAATACTGCACAATGCTTATAGAGCATTCATGAGAGAATATGAAGAGTTAGGTCACATGTCACGTTCAGAAGAGTCCGGTGATTATTTTATCCCTCATCATGCAGTTCATAAGTTAGTGGGTGACGAGCTAAAATTAAGAGTGATTTTTGATGCATCTGCAAAATGTCAGGCTGGATATTCACTTAATGATAGGTTGTATGTAGGGCCTAAACTTCAGCAAGAAATCATAGATGTGTTAACTGGGTTTAGGGTTCATAAGTTTGTTTTTACCACTGACATTTGCAAAATGTATAGGCAAATATGGCTTCATGATAAATACCATGGTTATCAGCACATTTTGTGGAGGGATTATGCCCATGAACAGGTAAAAGAATATACACTTCACACTGTTACCTATGGTGTAAATTGTGCTCCATATTTAGCTCTAAGAGTATTACAACATATTGCTGACAATGAGTGTGATGATTTTCCTGCAGTTCAACAAACTTTGCGTTATCAAACATATATGGATGATATCTGTGCTGGTGCAGAATCAATTGTAGCTGCTAAAATTTTAAGAAATAATTTAATAGAAGTGTTGGCAAGAGTGGGTCTCTCACTTAGGAAGTGGTCAAGTAATTGTGTGGACCTCTTGGATGACTTATTAGATGAAGATTGTGCATGCAATCCTCTGGCTTTTGATCGTGGCGATGGAATTCATGTTTTAGGCATGGAATGGATACCTGATACCGATTGCTTTACTTATGATATAAGTGCTATAAAGTGTGTTCCCACAAAGCGAGGAGTACTTTCGGTAATTGCTAGGATTTTTGATCCTTTAGGGTTTTTGGCTCCTATGTTATTTTATGCCAAATGTTTATTGCAGCAACTGTGGAAGGCAAAGTTAACTTGGGATGATCCGTTGACGACAGATATAGCTGAAGAGTGGTATAAGTTTGTCAGTTCTCTTGGCTGTATAACATCAATCCGAGTCCCTAGGTACATTGGAGCTGCACTGGGAAATTCTTATGTAATTTGTGGATTTTGTGATGCTTCTGAAAAGGGCTATGCTGCTGTAGCTTATCTTAGAGTAATGGATTCTGCTCAGAATGTATATTTATACCTGCTCGGGTCTAAAACAAAACTGGCTCCAATGAAATCTTCTACAATCCCTAGACTAGAGTTATGTGGTGCTGTTATATTAGCAATATGGTTAGCGCGTCTTAAGAAAATTTTAGAAACCCATTTAGGTTCTCTTAATGTCTATGCTTGGTCTGACTCAACAATTGTTTTATCTTGGTTGCTCAATCCACATGTTTCTTTAAAACCATTTGTTTCAAATCGTGTCAATCAAATCCATAAGCTGCTCCCTGATTGTCATTGGGCTCATATCTATTCAGAGGAAAACCCTGCAGACTGTGCTTCACGTGGCTTGTCACCATCTGAACTTCCTAACCATAAATTATATTGGAAGGGTCCAGCTTTTTTAAAGAAACCAGTAGTTGAATGGAATTTACATTGGGAATCTATGCCAACCAGTCTGTTGCCCGATATTCAACAAGTTAATGTTCAATCCTTCAACATTCAAGTCCAGGTTGAATGGTACAGTGGATTTTCTTCTTATATACATTTACTTCGTGTTGTTGCTTGGATAAGACGCTGGGTGCCAAAAGGAAGAAAAGTTAATGTCAATGAAACATTTTTAACAACTACAGAAATAAATAATGCTCTTGTTGCAGTGGTAAAAGAATCACAAAATTGTCAATTTGCTGTACTAGTGCAAGAGCTGTCCAGAGGGAAACCAATTAGTTCCAGACATTTGGCTCAATTGTGTCCATTTATTGATACAGCTGGGATAGTAAGAGTAGGAGGTCGCCTGCGAAATGCTAATTGCTCATATGAAAGAAAACATCCAATACTCTTGTCCAAGGATTCTCATTTAGTGTTATTGATTGCTCAACATTGGCATTTATTTGCTTGTCATGCCGGTTCGCGATTGCTCACCTCTCTTATTCAAAAACAATTTTGGGTTGTAGGTATTCGTAAGATTGTATATAAAGTTATAAAAGATTGCTCTATCTGTGTAAAATTAGCTGCTGTAAACCCCCAGCCTCGAATGGCTGATCTGCCAACTCCCAGAGTTCAAGGATGCAGGGTCTTTGCAGATGTCGGAATAGACTATGCTGGTCCATTACTAATGAAAGAATTAAGTTTGAAGAAGGCCAGGGAATTTAAAGTTTATATTGCCTTATTTATTTGTATGTCTACTAAAGCAGTACACTTAGAAGTGGTTTTAGATTTGTCCACCAAAGCATTTATGGCAGCCATGGATCGATTTGTTTCCCGAAGGGGTCTACCAGTCTCGATCTACTCTGACTGTGGCACAAACTTCATTGGAGCAGCGAATCATCTTCATCAACTTGTTAATGACCCGGCTAATAGAGATCAGATCACAAAGAATATCCATTGTATATGGCATTTTAACCCCCCTAGTGCTCCTCACTTTGGTGGTCTCTGGGAGGCAGCTGTAAAATCTACCAAGTCCTTGTTGGTTAGAACAATGGGGTCTCATATTTGGACGTTAGAGGAATTCTGTACTCTTCTGTGTCGAGTAGAAGCAGCTCTGAATTCTAGACCACTCACACCATTGACTTCAGATCCAAATGACTTAGATTGTCTCACTCCTGGTCATTTTATTATTGGTCAAACATTATTAGCAGTGCCTGAGGAGTCAGTGTTGAATAGTCCAGTTGATTTGAGAAACCGTTGGAAGCTCTTACAACAAACATTTCAATCTTTCTGGAAAAGATGGTCTTCTGAATATTTGAGTACACTCCAAGCTCGTGGATGTTGGTTAAAATCTCAAGAAAATGTAAAATTGGGTGCAATGGTGGTACTGAAGGATAACAGCTTGCCCCCATTGAAATGGAGATTGGGTCGGATAAGTGAGCTACTACCTGGAAGTGATGGTGTGGTACGCGTTGTCAGGGTGCTCACCAAGCAGGGAGTAATTGTTAGGCCAGTAGTTAAATTAGTTTTATTACCTACCAATTAAATTCGAAATCTTTATTTTAATTTTGATTTAGCTTAATTAGCCAGAA